AGCCCGCCGCTGTGTCCCGCAGGATTCCCTGAACAACAACGGCGGCTTCGCGCCGGCCGCGCCGCGCCCCAGCTGGCAGGAGGCGCTGCTGCAGCGCTCTTCCTCCTCCTCCTCCTCCTCCTCCTCCTCCTCACACACCGGTGAGCGCGGGGCTGCGGGGCGGCGCGGTGACAGTGGGTGTGACAATGGGCTGTGACAGTGGCGGGGTGACGGCGGGCTGTGACAATCCAGGTGTGACAATCCAGGTGTGACAGTGGGCTGTGACACTGGCGGGGTGACGGCGGGCTGTGACAATCCAGGTGTGACAATCCAGGTGTGACAGTGGGCTGTGACACTGGCGGGGTGACGGCGGGCTGTGACATGCAGGTGTGACAATCCAGGTGTGACAGTGGGGCTGTGACAGTGGCGGGGTGACGGCGGGCTGTGACATGCAGGTGTGACAATCCAGGTGTGACAGTGGGGCTGTGACAGTGGGCTGTGACCATTCAGGTGTGACAGTGGGGCTGTGACACTGGCGGGGTGACAGCGGGGTGTGACAATCCAGGTGTGACAATGGGCTGTGACACTGGCGGGGTGTGACAATCCAGGTGTGACATTTGGGCTGTGACAGCGGGGTGTGACAATCCAGGTGTGACAGTGGGGCTGTGACAGCGGGGTGTGACCATACAGGTGTGACAATGGGGTATGACAGCGGGGTGTGACAATCCAGGTGTAACAGTGGGGCTGTGACATGCAGGTGTGACAATCCAGGTGTGACATTTGGGCTCTGACAGTGGGTCTGTGACAGTAGTGGGGTGACAGCAGGGCTGTGACAGTGGGGCTGTGACCATGCAGGTGTGACAGTGGCGAGGTGACATTTGGGCTGTGACAGTGGGATGTGATAGTGGGGCTGTGATAGTGGGGCTGTGACAATGGGGTGTGACAATGGGCTGTGACAGTGGGGTGTGAAATTTGGGCTGTGACAGTGGGCTGTGACAATGGGGTGTGACAGCCGGGCTGTGACAGCGGGGTGTGATAGTGGCAGGTGTGACAATGGGCTGTGACAGTGGGGTGTGACAGCGGGGTGTGATAGTGGCAGGTGTGACAATGGGCTGTGACAGTGGGGTGTGACAGCGGCCTGTGCCGATACGAGTGTGACAATGGGCTGTGACAGTGGGCTGTGACAGTGGGGTGTGACACTGGGGCTGTGACACTGGGGCTGTGATAGTGGCAGGTGTGACAATGGGCTGTGACAGTGGGCTGTGACAGCGGGCTGTGACACTGGGGCTGTGACACTGGGGCTGTGACAGCGGAGCTGTGACAGCGGGGCTGTGACACTGGGGCTGTGACAATGGGCTGTGACAGCGGGCTGTGACATTTGGGCTGTGACATTTGGGCTGTGACACTGGGGCTGTAACAGTGGGGTGTGACAGCGGGGCTGTGACAATGGGCTGTGACAGCAGGGCTGTGACAATGGGCTGTGACACTGGGGCTGTGACACTGGGGCTGTGACAGCGGGGCTGTGACATTTGGGCTGTGACACTGGGGCTGTGACAGCGGGGCTGTGACAGCGGGGCTGTGACATTTGGGCTGTGACACTGGGGCTGTGACACTGGGGCTGTGACAGCGGGGCTGTGACACTGGGGCTGTGACAGCGGGGCTGTGACATTTGGGCTGTGACACTGGGGCTGTGACAGCGGGGCTGTGACACTGGGGCTGTGACACTGGGGCTGTGACATTTGGGCTGTGACAATGGGGTGTGACAGCGGGCTGTGACAATGGGGTGTGACAATGGGCTGTGACACTGGGGCTGTGACAGCGGGGCTGTGACAATGGGGCTGTGACACTGGGGCTGTGACACTGGGGCTGTGACAGCAGGGCTGTGACAATGGGCTGTGACAATGGGGCTGTGACACTGGGGCTGTGCCCATCCGGGCGTGCTGCCGAGCCGCCCCGCGGCGTGACGCCGGCTCCGTGTGGCCCTCCCCGCAGGACACTCGTCCCCGCACGCCTGCATCCTGGACGGACCCTGCCTGGAGAGCCCTGCGGGCCCCGGGGGGGCTCCCCCCTCGCTGCCGCCCACCCCCCTGGACTCGCAAGGCAACAGCCCCGAGTCCCCGGCACATGGTAACCCATCGCCCCCGAGAGCCGCGCCCGATNCCCGCAGGATTCCCTGAACAACAACGGCGGCTTCGCGCCGGCCGCGCCGCGCCCCAGCTGGCAGGAGGCGCTGCTGCAGCGCTCTTCCTCCTCCTCCTCCTCCTCCTCCTCCTCCTCACACACCGGTGAGCGCGGGGCTGCGGGGCGCCGCGGTGACAGTGGGTGTGACAATGGGCTGTGACACTGGCGGGGTGACGGCGGGCTGTGACATGCAGGTGTGACAATCCAGGTGTGACAGTGGGGCTGTGACAGCGGGCTGTGACCATTCAGGTGTGACAGCGGGGCTGTGACAGCGGGCTGTGACAATCCAGGTGTGACAGTGAGGCTGTGACATGCAGGTGTGACAATCCAGGTGTGACAGCGGGGCTGTGACACTGGGGCTGTGACCATACAGGTGTGACAGTGGGGCTGTGACATGCAGGTGTGACAATCCAGGTGCGACAGTGGGGCTGTGACAATGGGGCTGTGACCATGCAGGTGTGACAGCAGGGCTGTGACATGCAGGTGTGACAATCCAGGTGTGACAGTGGGGCTGTGACAACGGGGTGTGACATTTGGGCTGTGACAGTGGGCTGTGACAATGGGGTGTGACAGCGGGGCTGTGACAGCGGGGTGTGATAGTGGCAGGTGTGACAATGGGCTGTGACAGTGGGGTATGACACTGGGGTGTGACACTGGGGCTGTGACACTGGGGCTGTGACAGTGGGGCTGTGCTGATACGAGTGTGACAGTGGGCTGTGACATTTGGGCCATGACTATGGGCTGTGACAGTGGGCTGTGACATTTGGGCTGTGACACTGGGGCTGTGACAGTGGGCTGTGACAGTGGGCTGTGACATTTGGGCTGTGACACTGGGGCTGTGACAGTGGGCTGTGACATTTGGGCTGTGACACTGGGGTTGTGACAGTGGGCTGTGACAGCGGGGCTGTGACAATGGGGTGTGACAGCGGGCTGTGACATTTGGGCTGTGACTATGGGCTATGACAGTGGGCTGTGACAATGGGCTGTGACACTGGGGCTGTGACATTTGGGCTGTGACAGTGGGGTGTGACAGTGGGCTGTGACACTGGGGCTGTGACATTTGGGCTGTGACAGTGGGGTGTGACAGTGGGCTGTGACACTGGGGCTGTGACATTTGGGCTGTGACACTGGGGCTGTGACAGTGGGCTGTGACAGTGGGCTGTGACAGCGGGGCTGTGACAATGGGCTGTGACACTGGGCTGTGACACTGGGGCTGTGACAGCGGGCTGTGACAATGGGCTGTGACACTGGGGCTGTGCCCATCCGGGCGTGCTGCCGAGCCGCCCCGCGGCGTGACGCCGGCTCCGTGTCGCCCTCCCCGCAGGACACTCGTCCCCGCACGCCTGCATCCTGGACGGACCCTGCCTGGAGAGCCCTGCGGGCCCCGGGGGGGCTGCCCCCTCGCTGCCGCCCACCCCCCTGGACTCGCAAGGCAACAGCCCCGAGTCCCCGGCACATGGTAACCCATCGCCCCCGAGAGCCGCGCCCGATTTGAACATGAACCTCATCTCCGCTGCGCTCCGAGCTCCGCTCTCCCCGCCGCGCCCCCGCCGGCCGCCCCCGCCTCACCCGTGTCTCTCTCCAACAGGGCCCGCGGCTCCCCCCGGCGCCCCCGAGGCCGCCCGCCCGCCCCGGGCCGCCCCCCGGGCCCCCGCGCAGCCCCGGGGCGGCGGCACCCCGGGGTCCCCGCGGCCGCGGTGCCCGGAGCGGGACGGGGCGCCCGCGGAGCCGCTCAGCTCCGACGGCGAGGGTCCCCGCTCCGGCCGGGCCGCCGGCGTGCGCGGCCACCCCTCGGGCTCCTCGGAGACCACCTCGCCCTCCTCGGACCCGGGCATCGAGGCCGACCTCAGGAGCCGCACGGCCAAGGCCTTCCCGCCCGGCGGGCGGCGCGGGGACGAGCTGAGCTCGCCCGGCTCCGACTCGGACGCGGACGGGGAGCTCGAGGCGGCTTTCGCCGGCGGGCGCCTGGTCAGCAACATGATCTCGTCCATCTCCGAGACCGAGCTGGACCTCAGCAGCGACAGCAGCAGCGGCCGCTCGTCCCACCTCACCAACTCCATCGAGGAGGCCAGCTCGCCCGGCTCCGAGGGCGAGCTGGAGCCCGAGCTGGAGGCGCCCGGCCTGCTGGGCATCAAGGACTCGCTGCTGCTGGACAAGGGCAAGGAGGACGACGAGGAGCCGGCCAAGAGGGGCCCGCCGGAGCGCGGCGTGCTCAGGAGGGAGAGCCTGGCCGAGCTGAAGGTGGACGCCTACTACGACAGCCTGGACCCGGCCGACGGCCCCGCGCCCGAGGGCCGGACCGACGTGTCCGGCGCCAGCCCCCTGGACCTGAAGATCGACCCCGACCACAGCCTGGAGAGCATCCGCCGCTCCTTCTACCTGCCCGTGGGGCCCAAGCTGATGCCCGAGGCGGACGAAGAGGACAACAGCGAGTACGACTCCGACTCGGAGTCGGAGCCCGACCTGAGCGAGGACTCGGACTCGCCGTGGCTGCTCAGCAACCTGGTGAACAAGATGATCTCGGAGGGCTCGTACCCCATCAAGTGCCCGGACGAGTGCTTCCAGAACAGCCACTCGCTGTGCGACACCATCTCGCCCGCCTCCGACCTGGAGCCCGAGATCCTGAGCGAGGCGCTGGACGAGGAGCCGGGCCCGCGGGACTCGCCGGCGGACGCGGCGTCGTCGCGGTGCCAGCGCGGCGCCATCGAGCTGGTGGACATGGAGACGCTGCGCAGCTCCCTGGCCGAGGCCGAGCACGCGGCCGCCGAGCCGCCGCCGGAGCCGCCGGCCGAGGAGCCGGGGCCATTCCTGTTCCTCAGCAACCCCACCAACGACACCATCGCGCCCGTGTGCCCCGGCCGCCCCGTCGCCCTCGGCCGCCTGGACGCCTCCGAGGTCCTGGCCACCCTTGGGTGCCGCCCGGCGTCGCTGCCGCGGGCGTCCCCCGGCGCCGAGCCCGCCGGCCACCGGCGCCGGGCCCTCGACGGGGAGCCGGACTCGGGCGTGCCGGAGGCCGACTCCATCATCGACGACGTCCGGTTAGCGCCCGACGGCGACCCCGCCGCGCTGGACGTGTCCACGGCCAAGACCAACCGCGGCTTCGGCATGGCCTTGGAGGAGGCCGAGCCGCCCTTGCTGACCCCGCGGCGGGGCAGCCCGGCCGGCGAGGCGCCGGAGCCGCCGGCGCTGGACGAGTCGCTGGCCTACGACTCGGTCAAGTACACGCTGGTGGTGGACGAGCACACGCAGCTGGAGCTGGTCAGCCTGCGGCGCTGCACGTCCGTGCTCAGCGACGACAGCGACATCCTGAGGGCCTGCGACGACGAGGTGGCCTTTGGGGACGGGCTGGTGGCCCCCGACACGCGCAGCTCCTCCGAGGACTCGTCCCCCGAGGCCGACCTGCAGTTCTCCAAGAAGTTCCTCAACGTCTTCGTCAACAGCACCTCGCGCTCCTCCAGTGAGTGGCGGCGTCGCGGCGGGGCGTGACATTGTCGTGACGTGTCACGGTGTCCTGGGCTGGTCCCTGGGTGACCTTGGCTGCCCTCCGTGTCCTGCCCCAGCCGTTCCCGCGTGGCGTGCCACCCTGTGGCATTGTCACGGCATGTCACGGGATGTCACGGGATGTCGTGACGTGCAGTGCCGTGCTGTCCCGGCTCTTCTCACACCAGCCGCCCGCCCTGCCCTGTCCCTGGCACCATTCGCGTGTGCCGTGCCGTGTCACCGCGTGTCACGATGTGTCTGGGATGTCACGGGATGTCCTGGCATGTCACGGGGAATGGGGCAGGCTCGCAGTGACCACAAGGTCCCCAGCCCTGCTCTGCTGGGCAGGGCCCAGGTGGCACCCCCAGGAGGGTTCTGAGCCCACGAGCACCCCGCAGGGACATGGGTGGGGGTGTCCCCGGGGGGGTGGCAGCTGTTCCATGGGGGTGGCACTGTCCCGTGGGGGTGGCACTGTCCCCAGTCCCGTGGGGGTGGCACTGTCCCGTGGGGATGGTGGTTGTCCCCAGTCCCATGGGGGTGGCACTGTCCCGTGTCCCGTGGGGTTGGCACTGTCCCAAGGAGGTGGCACTGTCCCGTGGTGGTGGCACTGTCTCCTGTCCCATCGGGGTGGCACTGTCCCATGGGGGGTGGCACTGTCCCATGGGGGGGTGGCCCTGTCCCCCTGTCCCATCGGAGTGGCACTGTCCCGTGGGGGTGGCCCTGTCCCCCTGTCCCATCGGGGTGGCACTGTCCCGTGGGGGTGGCACTGTCCCCTGTCCCATGGGGGTGGCACTGTCCCGTGTCCCGTGGGGGTGGCACTGTCCCATAGGGGTGGCACTGTCCCCTGTCCCATTGGGGTGGCACTGTCCCATGGGGGTGGCACTGTCTCCTGTCCCGTGCGGGTGGCACTGTCCTCTGTCCCGTGCGGGTGGCACTGTCCTGTGGGGGTGGCACTTTCCCATGGGGATGGCAGTTGTCCCCAGTTCCATGGGGGTGGCACTGTCCCCTATCCCATGGGGGGTGGCCCTGTCCCGTTGGGGTGGCACTGTCCCATGGGGGTGGCACTGTCCCGTGGGGGTGGCACTGTCCCGTGGGGGTGGCCCTGTCCCCCGTGCCCCTGGCATCGCTGTCCCCGCAGGCACAGAGTCCTTCGGGCTGTTCTCCTGCATGGTGAACGGGGAGGAGCGGGAGCAGACCCACCGCGCCGTCTTCAGGTGAGGCCACCCCAGGTGACACCCAAGGGACCCCCAGCCCCTGCCGGGGACACCCAGGGCCACCCCAGGGCCCCCTGCCCGCTGCTGGTCCCCCGGGGTGGCTGTCCCTGGGCTCTGGGGGTTTGGGGGTGACCGGGAGGGGAGGGGGGTGTGGGGCTGGGTTTGGGGGTGACTAGCAGGTCAGGGCAGTGAGTTTGGGGTTGACCAGGAGATCAGGGCAGTGAGTTTGGGGTTGACCAGGAGATCAGGGCAGTGAGTTTGGGGTGCTGATGACCTGAGGGTGCCAAGCTGTGGCTTTGGATGACCAGGAGGTCAGGGCTGTGAGTTTTGGGCTGACCAGGAGGTCAAGGCTGTAAGTTTGGGGCTGACCAGGAGGTCAGGGCTGTAAATTTGGGGCTGACCAGGAGGTCTGGGTGGTGGCCCGGGGCTGACCAGGAGCTCCGGGTGGTGGCCCGGGGCTGACCAGGAGCTCCGTGTGGTGGCCGGGGCTGACCAGGAGCTCCGTGTGGTGGCCGGGGCTGACCAGGAGCTCCGGGTGGTGGCCGGGGCTGACCAGGAGCTCCGGGTGGTGGCCCGGGGCTGACCAGGAGCTCCGGGTGGTGGCCCGGGGCTGACCAGGAGCTCCGGATGGTGGCCCGAGGCTGACCAGGAGATCAGGGCAGTGAATTTGGGACTGACCAGGAGCTCCGGGCGGTGGGTTTGAGGCTGACCAGGAGGTCAGGGCTGTAAATTTGGGACTGACCAGGAGGTCAGGGCTGTAAGTTTGGGGCTGACCAGGAGCTCCGGGTGGTGGCCGGGGCTGACCAGGAGCTCCGGGCGGTGGCCGGGGCTGACCAGGAGGTCAGGGCAGTGAATTTGGGACTGACCAGGAGATCAGGGCAGTGAATTTGGGACTGACCAGGAGCTCCGGGCGGTGGCCGGGGCTGACCAGGAGCTCCGGGCGGTGGCCTGGGGCTGACCAGGAGGTCAGGGCTGTAAATTTGGGGCTGACCAGGAGCTCCGGGCGGTGGCCTGGGGCTGACCAGGAGCTCCGGGCGGTGGCCTGGGGCTGACCAGGAGCTCCGTGTGGTGGCCGGGGCTGACCAGCAGCTCCGGGCGGTGGCCCAAGGCTGACCAGGAGCTCCGGGCGGTGGCCTGGGGCTGACCAGGAGGTCAGGGTAATGAATTTGGGGCTGACCAGCAGCTCCGGGCGGTGGCCCAAGGCTGACCAGGAGGTCAGGGCTGTAAATTTTGGGCTGACCAGGAGGCCAAGGCTGTGGGTTTGAGGCTGACCAGGAGCTCAGGGCAGTGAATTTGGGACTGACCAGGAGGTCAGGGCTATAAATTTGGAGCTGACCAGGAGCTCCGGGCAGTGGCCTGGGGCTGACCAGGAGGTCAGGGCTGTAAATTTGGGACTGACCAGGAGGTCAGGGCTGTAAGTTTGGGGCTGACCAGGAGGTCAGGGCTGTAAGTTTGGGGCTGACCAGGAGCTCCGGGCAGTGGCCCGGGGCTGACCAGGAGCTCCAGGCGGTGGTCGGGGCTGACCAGGAGGTCAGGGCTGTAAGTTTGGGGCTGACCAGGAGGTCCGGGCGGTGGCCGGGGCTGACCAGGAGCTCCGGGCGGTGGCCGGGGCTGACCAGGAGCTCCGGGCGGTGGCCTGGGACTGACCAGGAGGTCAGGGCTGTAAGTTTGGGGCTGACCAGCAGCTCTGGGCGGTGGCTGGGGCTGACCAGCAGCTCCGGGTAATGAATTTGGAGCTGACCAGCAGCTCCGGGCAGTGGCCTGGGGCTGACCAGCAGCTCTGGGCGGTGGCCCGGGGCTGACCAGGAGGTCAGGGCAGTGAATTTGGGACTGACCAGGAGCTCTGGGCGGTGGCCGGGGCTGACCAGGAGCTCCGGGTAATGAATTTGGGACTGACCAGCAGCTCCGGGCGGTGGCCTGGGGCTGACCACGCGACCGCGGCCGCTCCCGGCGCGCTGTCCCCGTCCCCACGCCGCCCCTGGGCGCTCGCCCCCAGGTTCATCCCGCGCCACGAGG